TGGCCATCTTTCAAGTGTGCTTTGGTTGTGTATTCCTGCATGGCAGAAAGGGGTTAGACTGGATGGCACTTGTGGACTCTTCCAACTCTACTATTCAATGATTTTATGACTCACAATGATAATAACATTGTTCTTGCATGTAGCTTGGTTTATAACCTCTGATCTTGTTTATGACCCAGGCTGTTTTAGTGTGTATTGCTAACCCCGTTGACTCTTCTAACGTAGATTGACCACCTGGTTCTTGACTTTGGACTGGACTCAACACACACTTTTCACCCTTTCTCTATTGCAGCCTTTCTAAAGTCCTAGTGACCAATTCTGGTTTCTGAGAACTGTAGTCACTCACCCTTGGCTCTGATCATCTTGGATCTGCACTGACCGGAAGTGCCTTTCAGTCAGAGCAGCATACCAGAGCATGGTACCTTACTACCTCGATTTCCAACTGGGAGTTGCCCCTTATTTTCACAGCAATACAGTAACAGAAAGCAAAACTGTTATTGCAAAACTGACAGCCAGAATGGTGTAGTGGTTTGATTATGTTGGATTATGACTCTGGAGATCAGGGTTCACTTCCCCGCTCAGCCATTGAAACCCGCTGGATGTCCTTGGGAAGGTCACACTCTTTCAACCCTACAAAACCCCATGATGGAGTCAGTGTAAATTGGAAACAATTTGAAGGCACACAACAACAAGTAGGTGGGGATTTTGCTAGTCTTTCACATGCTTTCTTACGAACCACATCAATAACCTCAAACTCTTACCAGCATCTCAGCCTTGCATCAGCCAGGTGCAAATGGTTGTGTTTTTTTTTTAAAGTGTTGAGAAGCTAATGCATCCCACATGATTTGGTGCCTCATTGATGATGGCTGGGCTAGTGGGTTGCTCTTTCCAGGTGGCTTAGAGCCAAAGTGCTATCTTATAACAAACAGAAGAATTTGCTAGGCACCACCTGGAAGATACTAACCTTCAAGTTGACATTAGATTTACAGCTCAGTTCCAGAGTGTAATGTACTGGTCCAGAATAGATGGGGGGGGGGGGGGGGGGGGAGAGAAGAACAAGCTCATCTTCTTGCCATTGACAAAAGAGTCACAGGGCTGGTGCTGTCTTTTATGACTTAAAGACAGAAAGTTTGCAAGTGTTTTCCTCTAACAAGAAAGGATGCTTTAATCCCACCAGTAATTCAACAATTGATCAATTTACCAATTTATTGACACCAATGTGAGTTAGGTTTGGCAAGTGGGGTAGGATCTGGCACCCCAGTCCTATGAATGTTTAGTTTACTTTGAAGTAAATAAAAAAACAAAATTACCTATTATTTTAGTTGTTACATTTATATTTTGTCTTTTCCCAGTCAGCTCGGAGAATTAAATGAATTCATCACTCTCCTTCTTCCCACTTTATCCTCATAACACCCCTGTGGGATAGGGCAGGCTGAGAGACAGTAACTGGCCCAACCAACATCAACCAAAGAGATTCATGGCTCAGTAGGGACTTGAACTTGGATCTTCCAGCTCCCAGTCCAATATACCACCCATGTTACCCAAAATAATAGGGTCCTGGGAAAGCACCCACAAAAAAATTAGGGGAATTTTAATAGCTCAAATTATGTTTTGGCCAGGGCAACAGTCGCCCTTGAGATCTCAACCCTATGTATAATGTTTCCAAATCATGCAGAACTCCAGAGGCAATTCCAAATGGGTTTTGCAGTTTTTATTCAGGAAATAATCAACACACATACACACTCACACACACCACAAGAACTAACAAAGCAAAGGTGGGAGAAGGTGAATAGTGGAGTCCCTGCTAATGATGACACATTACCAATCTTGAAGTGTGGTTCAAATTGATGGGTGTCTGGAACAGTGAACGCTCAATAGCCACCTTGGCAAGTGGGGTTGCCAGCTTATTGAGGTGCCTAGTAGAACCAACAGTGTCTCTGCCTGGTTACAAACTAGACCAAATTGCTAATGTCTATGTGGTGGGATATATACTCAAAATCATGTCCCAGGGCAGTAATCAAGGACTGAGTGGATTAACTCTCTGCTAAAGTCTTTCTCTGAAGATGCCAGCCACAGATGCTGGTGAAACGTCAGAAAGAAACTCTTCTATAACATAGCCACAGAGCCCAAAAAACCCACAAAAAACTACAAAAAGTATTATGATGTCTTGGGTGATCTTATTGTGCCTTGCTTACTCCCTTGCTGGAGCCAACTGGATTATGGCCAGATTTCCACCTTTACCACCCACTGGTCACTCGCCTAAGTGTTCCTTTTAATATTAGATTGATATCAAACAGGAGACGGATGATTGGGGGCCTGGTCCATGAGTAACACTTGTTACATCATTGTGGGGCTGTTTAATGAAATGTAAACATGCATGGAATTGTAATCTTTTTTGTGTTCCATTTTTATGGGTTTTGAAGTGAATGAAAGTACTTTTGAAACAAAACCAAACTCATCTTTTGTTTCACTCATGTCTACAGATATGGCAAGAGTTTTTATGAGCCAAGCTGTGAAATGAATTCACCTTGTTGGAAATTAGTTACTAGGGTTTGCTCTAGTTTTTAGAAAGGCTCAGCTCCCTAGATGCCAAATCAGTTTATCAAATCTTCAGAGCCATCTGTATGTAGAGTTAGGTAGACGGCTTTGCTAGTAGGCTTTGAGCATGCATGCTAGATTCATCTTTCTAAATAAACTGCTGTGCTCTTCCTATTACAGTCTTAACCAGGGGTAGGCAACCTTTCCCCTTTAAGGGTCGAGGGACTTCAGCTCCCAGAAGCCTCAGCCATGTTGGCCAATAGTCCCATGTTGGCCAATAGCTCCTGGAATTCTGGGAGCTGAAGTCCCTCGGCCCTTAAAGGGAAAAGGTTGCCTACCCCTGGTCTTAACCTAAAAGGATGAATTTTTCACTTCACATCCAGTTGTCTTTGCTTGACTATGCCAATCTTGACTATGCTACACTTTCTGTGGGTGGGTTCTCGAATTTTTAGACTGTGTTCTGTGATAGGTTACATATTGTATGGAATTTTAATTGTTGTAAGCTGCCCCGATTGTCCGTCAGAGGGGTGGGGTACAATTACATGTTGTTGTTGTTGTTGTTGTTATTATTATTATTATTATTATTATTATTATTATTATTATTATTATACACAGTATGCCAGTGTGGCGAACCACTCTGGTGTAGTGCTTTGAGTATGGGACTAGCACATTGAGAGACCAGGGTTCAAAACCCCATTCAGCCATTGAAACATACTAGGTGACCTTGGCAAGTCATATTCTCTCAGCCTCAGAGGAAGATAAGGGCAAATACCCTCTAAACAAAGCTTACCAAGAAAACCCCTTAATAGGTTTGCTTTAGGGTCATTATAAATCAGAAATGGCTTGAAGGCACACATCAACAACACAGTATGTATCACCATTCTGTATGCTACCTGGCTGACCTAATTGGGAAATTTTCACATGTGTGTTCTGGAGGCAGAGTGCACAATAAAATAAAGTAAAAAAAAATAAAAAGCCAAAATTGGTCAAATCTATTAACCACCAAAATCAGTTTCAAATTTGCTCTATGATCCCAGTCCAATGTAGAGTTTCAGGTCCCTTTAACAGTGACACCCAATTATGTTTTCAGTCACACAAAAAGTGGATGCAACACTGCCCCAGAATGAAAACTGGGGAGGACTCCATTACTTTTAATGTCTGAATAGAAGAAGGGATTTGTTCAGCTGTTGATTATTACTCATTTGCATGACAAGCAACACTTGCTGAAATTCCCCACTCCTCTTAGGAGAAAAATGTGTTAAGTTATGTGGACTGTTTTAAACCCAGGAGAAGTTGAGCAAGGGTATGTGGGCATTTCAAGTTTTTAAAAAATCATTTAACAAAGGATTTGAAGGCTCTTTTAGGGGGACACTAACTTTTAGCAAAATTAGATGCCAATGCAATTTTTTAAAATAAAAAATGCTAGTGAAATTCCTTTGCTATGAAATTTGACCAGTTTGTGGAGTGTAAAACCTAAATCTAGTTCAGGGGTAGGCAACTTTTCCCCTTTAAGGGCCGAGGGACTTCAGCTCCCAGAATCCCAGGAGCTATTGGCCAACATGGGACTATTGGCCCAACATGGCTGAGGCTTCTGGGAACTGAAGTCCCTCGGCCCTTAAAGGGGAAAGGTTGCCTACCCCTGATCTAGTTGCACACCCCAACTACAGTAGATCCATTGACTCAATGGGTTCTAAATAAGTGTTGACTAATCATTCAGCAATTGATTCAGCAGGTCTACTCTAGTTCAGATTGGTAATTGGATTTAGACTAATGTCCTTCAATGTCGTGTTGGCTGTATATGGACTGTCATGCCTGTATGTAGTATTCCCCTGGCATTCACATTTGCAGGCAAAGAGTATTAGAAGAAAACAATTGACTTCCTGCCCTGCTCATGGATTTCTTCACAGCATCTGACTCTCCACTGTCAGAAAAGGAAAGATGAATTAAAAAGTACTTTTGGTTTTACAGGCCTCTTTTTATGGGCTAACACCAGCTGTTAATCCTAAATTCCTTGCCAAGCTCTCACTTATTCAAGCACATTTTGTCCATTTAGCAAAGTACGTTTTGCAGTTTTGCAGTAGACAAACTTGATTAGTTACTACAGAGTTTTGTCCTACATGAGTCTTTGCTTGCTTTTGGGTGGATTGTTTGGTTTTTGGGGAAGAGTGACATTTGAAATGCTTACTGCTTTTAGGAGTTCTGTTTTACAATCAATAGATCAGCCATCTAATTCAGTATAAGACACCTTCCCAGTAAAAGACACTAATATGGTTCAGGCTTTCTGTATTTATTTCTGCAGGAATTACTTTCAGAATTTATTTTCATAGTATTGCTGCAGGCAACAGTTTGTTCAAATGGAGCCAAATAGGTGGTTCACTTGATAAAGAAGGGACTGCAGACTTGTAATTGCAATTATATACTTGAATATAATGCACTTCAAATTTAATCCATCTGTAACAGTTACAGTCTATGGTTTTGAATTGTTTATGCCACTTTAGTTTGGGCGCTTCACAACTTAATTCCTAGTCTGTTTATGATCTACGGAAAAGTCTTGAAGGCTATAAAAATTTAATAACTTTTTAGTTATATATTAAAATTCTTGCTTCCCCAACATTTTTTTGTATTTTGTGCCTCCATAGATTTTTAGCCTTGTCTCATGTGACTTTCTTCTTCTGAAGACTGAAACCTATCTTGATTTTAGGTGTTAAGTGATACACGTGACTGATGTTTTCACTGGCAGCTTCAGTTGTGAATAATTTTTCTCAAGTCAATAGGAGAAAAACCTTTGATATCGGTCAAATGATTTTGTGTGTGTTTATTGTGCCATCATGTCACCTGTCATTTATGATGACCCCATGAATTTCATAGGGTTTTCTTAGACATGGAATCTCAGAGGTATATTTGCCAGCTCCTTCCTCTGAAATATAGCCTACAGCACCTGGTATTTGTTGGCTGTCTCCTATCCAAGTACTAACCAGGGCTGACCCTCCTTAGCTTACAAGATGAGATGACTGGGTGCCTTTAGGCCTCTCATCTCAATAATCTGT